CATCAGCTGCAAAGTATCAACTGTCTGAGTCCACATTACCACTTTCTACATTCTCTACATTATTATTTACTTACACACTCAAATCCCATTGTTAAAAGTGCGTATACGGCAATGGTAATGATTTATCATGAGTTAAAAGGCAGTTTGTGGATAAAACTAAAAAGAGAAAAAAAAAAAAAACACAAACATAAGAGGTAGCAACAATCCACACAAAGGAAGGATTTTTCTGACAGATTTAACAAAACAGAGGTCATTGTCTTTTATTTGTATTAGTTTAATCATAACTATTGGGCAATTTAAACACGTTTTGGGCCTTGTTCATAATATCATTACAATGGGAGTGTGCCTATGTTCTCTATGTTCCCACAGCCCTATATTCCCTCATTTCTAAGTTTTTTTGTTTTGTTTTTTTAAATTCTAAATTAGGCCCTATATTCCCACATTTCCTTTATCATCAATTTGCATCAGATTTGATCTAATTTCTCCCAATTTGGCCTTCAGTTAAATCCAAGTCAATTCTTCAGATGTGATGTAGAGGTCATGATGCAAAGGACCTGAGGTTGAAATGACTCTGAATCATCCCTTTAAATGCGGTTTAAAAATAAAAATGACTTGAATTAGAGTTTCATTTTGAGAAAAATAGAAAAAAATCTTAGAAATGAGGGAACATAGGACTGACCCTGTTACAGTATGTCATTCCTGCAACTCTTGTCTAACCAGGAAGTTAAACTATAAACTTCACCAAAATAAGAAATCAAAATTCTTTTATTTTATTTATTTTATTTTTACATAATGATGTCCAAAAGTGGTTCAGAAATTGTATTACAGGAGCTTACAACAAAACTCCCCAAACTTGTGTTAAACAGCCGTTTAACAGACAGTGTTGTAGTAAGTGTCGACATTAAAAAGATGGCCCCTCTGGAAGCAACCATGAGAGAAATGTGAGTGCACTGAGCCAGGAGTCATTTCCAAACACCACACACGAAATGAGACCATAGAGCAGTCGACAGTCAGAGCAGCTCAGAACGCACTGTACAGCTGTAGGCTACCAGTGTGTGTGTGTGGCTGTGTGTGTGTGTGTGTGTGTGTGTGCACGCTGTACACGAAGAGACATGGAACTGAACAATGCTCCGGAGCAGAGCTGACATCACCAGGCAGCAGATGACACAGTACATTATTTTACCGGCTCTATTTTTATTTTACCCCAGGACATAACTTTTGTGCCAAAAAAAGACCCACATTAGGCTATTTTCTAATATTTGTTATAATGTTGCTACCTCATCACAAACCTGAAACTGTTTTTTTTTTTTTTCTTCACTAGGAGCGAGGGCAGTACAGTGTGACATTGAAATGACAGTGACCACAGCAGGCAGCACTTATTTATCTATTTAAAATGGCAAAAATCCCTCCATTTGAACCTTAAATGAAGTGTATGTGGTCTGCTCTCTTACTGTGAATGTGAATGTGTTCATGGAAAACCCCTTGAGATGCAACATCTCATTTTCAAAAGGGACCAAAAACATACAACATACAGTTCACACATAACTGTCCACAACAACACGTAACACAAGATACATACATGCATACATACATGCATACATACATGTACATACATACATACATACATGCATACATACATACATACATACATACATACATACATGTACATACATACATACATACATACATACATACATACATACATACATGCATACATGTACATACATACATACATACATACATACATACATACATACATACATACATACATACATACATACATACATACATACATACATACATACACATGCATACATACATACATACATACATACATGCATACATGCATACATACATACATACATACACACACATGCATACATACATATGCATACACACATACATACATACATACATACATACATACATACATACATACATACATACATACACACACATGCATACATACATACATACATACATACATACATACATACATACACATGCATACATACACACATACATACATGCATACACATCCATACATACATCCATACATACATACATACATACATACATACACATACATACATACATACACATCCATACATACATGCATACATACATATATACACATCCATACATACATGCATACATATATACATATATACATACATACACGTCCATACATACATGCATACATACATACACATGCATACATACATACATACATACATACATACATACATACATACATACACATACATGCATACATACATACATACATACATACATACACACACATCCATACATATATACATACATACACATACATACATGCATACATACATATGCATACATACATACATATCCATACATACATATGCATGCATACATGCATACATACATACATACACACACATGCATACATACATACATACATATATACATACACATCCACACATCCATCCATACATACATATATACATACATACATACACATACATACACACACACACACACACCCATACATACATACATACATACGCATGCATGCATACATACACACACACACACACATTCATACATGCATGCATACACATACATACATACATACACACACACACGCACACACACACACATTGACAAACATTAGGCCATGAAAACATTCTTTATTGATTAACAACATGGTTTAAAGTTAGGATTTGGGTTAAAATGGGGTAAAGGTGCATTGTGTAACTTTTGGGTGGGAGTTGGGTGGGTGGGAGGTGATTCTATTGTTCAGAGAGCTTAGAGATCCTTTAACAACATGCACTCCTGTGTGAACGGACTCGTCTCTCCATAGAACTCATCTGTACCTTGGCCTGATTGTCTCATCTTGCATTAAACACAGATAAGTTTAATGCCGCACTGTGAAACATTCCGAGCTGAACAGTTACGTGTACATGGAGACCAGCATGTGGTGTACCCTCCCAAAGAAAAGTGACGCATTGGACCTTTAAGTTTCTGGTTTGGATGAAGGTTTGGGTTTAGGTTCAGTCTATGTTTATATGATGAGGGTCTGAACAGAGGAAGTGGTGTCGCGTCTTCACCTTTTATTCCACGTTTAGACGAGCATTTTTGGGAGGAAATCTGCGTGCAGACGGTGACGCAAAAGTGTGTGGAATTGGATTGGGTATGTTTCTACTTAAAGCAACAAGGGCATCTTTGGACATACGGAAGATTTCATGGCACACATTTTAAAGTTGTCCCACTACTGACCAGTTCTCCAGGTCTCATCCATATCCATCTGACTCGCCTGCGACCAACCGAGCCTCCTGTAAGTTTATAAGAGCTGCCAGAGCAACCTGAAGGTCCGACGCATGGAAATGATCCGACACATTGTTTCTGTGTACTGTATGTATGTGACGTAAACACGTACATGACCTGAGCACATCTGATCAGAGTTTTGCATCTTGGGAAGTGTAGACGGAAACGCTACAGTTTTTCCACTCTGGAGGGTCGTTTCAGATTTTTGCATTTTTAAGCCCCAAAAACGTCGTCACCTTCTAAACAAAAGGCACTTCTGATAAAATATTTTGCTGTTTTTACCCACAAGCGTTCTGGTGTAAACAGGCGCTCAGTCAGACCTGTGTGTGTCTACAGTTCTGACCTCTGACCCCCATAGCTCTTTATGTTATAATTTAGACATTTTAAATCACAATATTTGTCTGAAACAACTTAAACAAGGGTTTTGCCCAAGGTACAGTTACTACAGCAACTGCAGAGCCACCATATCTGGACATGCTCAGAGTGAAAAACAGGACAAATCTGCTAATTCATTTTTTAAAATGTATTTATTTATTTTTTATTAAATGTATTGCAAAAATACAAACACATTATTATAAACATACATACAAGAAAACAGACAGATTGGCATTATTTAACTTACGACAGTTAATGAATACAACAAAACATGCTTTTAGTGACTATTTGTCACAGAAAAGTAACAAACATAAGTGGTGAGCAAACTCAGAACTAAACATAACTCAAATAATCACTTTTGGGCACCATGGGGATGTGGTTTTAGCTCTATTCATCAGCCGGTTTCACTTCATGGAAACTGTCTGACCTTGCAGCTGTGGGATTCGTTCGCTCGATATTAGGCAGGTTACACCTTTTTAGGCAGATTTTTTATTTAATTTTATTTTTCCAATCACTGTTATTTGGTCGTGACGTTTGTAATGTGCCAAATCCCGTAGGAAAGAGGGCAGTAACGTCTTTCTCCTTGATAAAACTCACAAAACATTCTCTTTGTTCTGGTTTTAAATCCTCGATCTAGGGAATCGTTGCCAACACAGAATGTCTGTTTTTGTCTACATCCATCTCGATGCTTTGTTTTCTGTTGTGCTGTTCCACTAAAGGGACACAGACAGACGCGACGAGTTTGACGTCATGGCTTCACAGCTCACAGCCTATTGGTCGGTGCACGGTCTACAACTTAAGAGGTTCTTGCAAACCGTCTAGTGTATTTTGATTCCTGACCGAGTCGCTGGAGAGAAATGAAATTGAATGGAGGCACTAGGTGGCGCCAGCCTGGCTAATGTGGTTTACGCAGTGAAGGAAAAAACTAAATCAATTTCCACGGTTTATTACAGTTTTACAGGCAAACAACAATGTACATGATCAAGACCTACATCTGCTGCCTCTCCTGTCGACTGGTAAAAACCATAGACCCACCCAAGTGCACTCTGGTCGACCTGTACCACCCTCTTTTATCCACTAGGTGCCCCGTAGATTCAACCAAAACAGAAAAGATGCTGAAGGTAAATAATACCAAATTAGACTAAACAAATTAACAAACATAATATTACCATAGCAAAAAATATATTATACAAAACTAAATGAGTAAACTCATCGACACACAAAAATAATACATTTTAGAATAAATTAAATAAGCAAATAGCTCCTACACTGCTTATGATACTAATAACACTAATGATACTAATGGTGCTAATAATTGGCTGATTTGTCACTTGTATCTGAAACAGGACCAACTCAGATCTGAACTGGTCTCACTCACTGCTCGGGCCTCTCTCTAGCGCCGCCCTGGTTCTGACCTGAAAAAATAAAATAAAATAAAAACAGCACACAGCACAAAAAACAGTAAAAAAAAACAAAAAAAAAAAAAACCAAGAAAACCAGGACTAAACCAAGACTATACCAGCCCTAAACAAGGACTAAACCAGGTCTAATGGTCAGTACCTTGCAGTAGCAGTAGGACATTGGGAGGATGTACAGGAGCTTCAACAGAAGAATCACCACAACTCTGATGATCAGGTCTGAGTCTGACTCTGCAACACAAAAGAACCCAGATCAGACCAGGACCAGGACCAAGACCAGAACCAGGACCAAGACCAGGACCAAGACCAGGACTAAGACCAGGACCAGGACTGGGACCAAAACCAAAGTGCATGAGTCTGTATCTGGACGTACCTCCCACAGAGAGCTGGAGTGTGTGGCTCTGAGAGGAGAAGCTGTGGTTGAACACCTGCAGGAGGTAAACACAGGTGTAGTTTCCTTTGTGGGTGTGGTCAGCGTCAGAGAACAGGAAGTGGGCGGAGTGATTGACAGCGAACAGGGTGCGATTCTGAGCGGGGGGCGCGGCGGGAGAGAGGAGCCGGAAGGAGCCTCCCGGGTACTGTGGCTCCACGGAAGCATTTGACCCTGAACTTTGAGCCCAGCTGCACCCGCACCCCCTGAGGCTGGAGCTCGGACGCCCCGTCACTCACAGACACGGAAATGATTGGACGATTCAGGAGCTCTGTGGAGACACATGATTGGACAGTTCAATCTGTGGAGAGGAGTGTGTGTTTGTGCGTGTGTGTGTGTGTGTGTGTGTGTATGATCTAAACTCTTATTGGACATCAGATATTTTACACCTGACACTCCTCAGGAGCAACTAGAAAAACATCAGAGACAAAAAAAAAAAAAAAAAAAAAAAAAATGTAAGATCATACTTTTACCTGAACACACCACCTCCAGACCCCAGGAAGAGGAGTGTGAACCAAAGACACATCCTCTCACTGAAGACTCCTTCACACAGTCAGATAAGACCAACCACACAGGACTATGTGGAAAATCATCTTTCTCTCTTCCATAAACAGCAGAACCACAGTCCAGGTCTCTGCACACAGCAACTGTGTGCTCCTGGTTCCCAGGATCCATATTTCCCTAATCACCCGTCTCCACTCTCCTCTGAGTTTCACCTCCACTGTCCCAGCACAGCGAGTGGCTCCTCCCACCAGCCTGATCGGCTCTGAACAGACAAGAGGCAGAGTGAAGCCCCGCCCCCTTTACCTAAGCACTGAAGCCCCGCCCCTTTACCTGAGCAGGTGAGGTGGACAGTGGCTCCAGAGGAGCAGGTGCTTGAGTTGGAGCGGGGACAGTCCATCAGAGCAGACTCATGGCCCTCACAGTGGAACGTCTGCCCCAGAGGAGAGAGCGCCCCCTGGAGGAGAGAAGGAGCCCCACAGCCCAGCTCCCTGCACAGCACCTCTGCCCCCCGCTGGTCCAAGTCCCCGTCACAGACCTCGGTCCAGGACCCGTCCCAGATCTGCACTGATCCTGAACACAGACCGGACCCCGAGACCAACCGCACTGAGTCTGTGAACACACATGTGACATCATCACTCTGAACCAATAGGACGCACACACATGTGACATCATCACTCTGAACCAATAGGACGCACACATGTGTGACATCACTGCTCTGAGCCAATAGGAGCTTAGTTCTCACCTGAACACTGGAGCTGCAGACTGCTTCCTGAGCGATATCCAGTCCTAAAACACTGGATCAGGGCTGTTTGTTGACAGTGAGGATAACCCATCACAACTTCTCTTTCTAGACCAGTATTACGCCCCACAGACAGAACAGTGCCACAGTCTAGCACCGAGCACAGTCTGGCCCCAAACCCAAGAGTCATGTCAAATGGACCCACTGTAGTCCAGTTCAGACCTGGTCTCTGAAACTCCCCCTCCCCCTCACAGCGACTGGCTCCTCCCACCAGCCTCAGACTGTACGACTCTGCAGAGAAGAGACACACACTGGTGATCCTGCTCTCAGAGACAGGTTTTAGGATAGACTCACACACACACACACACACACACACACACACACACACACACACACACACACACACACACACACACACACACACACACACACACACACACACACACACACACACACACTCCTCTCAGTGAGGAGGCTGTTGGTTAGATTAGTTGGTCCTGATCTGTGTGAGTGTGTTGCTGAATGGTTCTTACCTGCTGAGCTGTTGTTTTCTGCACTCAGGACCCATGCACACAGGACCCCTGCACACAGGACCCCTGCACATAGAGTTCATGTAACATGACATCTGTTGGTCACATAACACAGAACTGGACAGAAAATGTCTGCTGTTTTGAGCCCAAAACCACAGGGACACGAAGAGACTGTGGTGCAATGTTCTCTGTGCTTCACAGATACTTTATCTCAGATGAAAACACGCATTTTACTCACTTCTGTGTTTATTTATTTCGACATAGTGATGTCACAGGTTTCCTTGTCCTCATTTAGAAACAGAAACATGCATTCACACACAATGTTGAAATGACAGTGTGGGTCATTTTGTCTTTGTCATTTCCTCACATAAATGTAAGAAAAAAATGGATTACAGCTTTTTCATCATGTTTTCATATAAAATACTTTTTTTGTGCTTCCGGGGACATTTAAAACATAAACATGAAAAGAGGCAAAAAAAAATAAAAAAATCTCTTGCTTCTTTCTGTTGTCATATTAGAAACTGAAAATATACAGAGGATTGGAATGGAACTGGGCAAAAAGGAAGGGAGTTGGTAAAGGGATCCAGCGTGACAATCAAATCACCACCAAGAGGAGCCGGACGCATGGGGGAACCACTGCTGTTGTGAATAAATACACCTGAAATATATTTTTACATGACTGATTCTAGTCATTAGAGGATATAGAGTAAATAAAGACACACTGTAATGAGCTAAATTGAAAGTGTCTCTGTGAAAGTGTCCTTTATGGGAAATCATTCCACATCCTCAAATCTCACACATTTTTGCTGCTTTGGGGACATTAGGTTCACTGATAACTGTGATTATTCAGGTCACAACAGACACTTTCAAATCCTGTCATCAGAATGTTCCAGACTCTGGAATGGAGGTGACTGGAGCCAAAGTGAAGCAAGTGAAGAATGTATTTTCAGTGATTAACTGATGAACAGATCTAAATCAGACACTGTCCTGGGGAAGTTGTACTGCAGGTGGCGCTGTCGTCCTGCCTCCCCCGTAGGAAGACAGCGCCAAAACCTGTTTAAATCAGCTGACCAACACGTCATAACAACATCACATGACTCTGAAGAAGAACGCAGGGAGCAGAACAAACTGGTATGAAAAAGGAAGGTTAAATGAACCTCTTTGGACTATTAGAATGTTTTTCTTTACACATTTTTTGCCTGCTTATGTCACCTCAAACTAACTCCATCCTTCAGAAAGTTCACACAGGTCAAACAGGTCACAGTGAAATCCAAAGTGTTTGTTTATTTCTGTAATGTCCTGGGGTCAATAATCATGAACAATGATAAAATCATGGTGTTTTTTCTCACAGTAATCCTAATATTATTATGATTTTAGTCTATTTATTCTTTGTTTTCATTATGTACTCTTTGAGATAGTTTTTTTCAAGGGATTTTATTATTGTAACCTTATGTTATTATAAAAACATTTGTTAACCATGACATTTTTTTTAAATTAACCATTAGTTTTAAATTTCTCCAGGCCATAAGAAATCTGCACATTTAACAATAAGCCGCAAACCTGTGACATTATCTTCATTGTAAATAAAACATCTCATCTCTAATTATCTCAGTTTTCAAACACGTAAGTTATTCAGCCAAAACCACAGACTGCCATGTAGAGTGCTTTTTAAAGAACTTTACTGATGTGATAACACAACAATGATTGAGGTGATCTGAATATTATTTGATTTAAATTATATGAATAATTGTCTTAAGACTAACATAAGAAATTAGTTTTCAAAATTAAAACCACTTCAAAATAGCAGATTTTTAATTTATTCTTTTAATAGAGACCTTTTTTTTTTTTTTTTTTTACATCAAGTAAAGTCTGAGCCTGAACTCACCCCAACACCAGAGGGACAGGAGCAGCACCCTGAGGAACATGTCCAAGAACCAGAACTGAACCAGGTCTGAAACAGGACTGAGTCTGGTCTGCACCAGATTTAAGTCTGGTTTTTGAGAGTTCTGTTTTTAACACGTTCTTATCTATTGATCCTTTGTGGTTTTCCTCATAAACACGGAAATATGACATCAAATGTAAAACTGTCCTCAAACAGCTCAGAACCGGAATTGAGCATTCTGCCTCACACTCTAGGTTATCATAGCAACCAAAGAGCCAATCAGGAGCAAGGCTATTGAAGGTAACACCCCTTCCTGTTTGAACCAGTGGTTTGGCTGTCAATCAAACCTGTTGCTAGGGAGTGACCCCAGGGAAAGAAGTTACCTCATTGGTCTGTTATTAATGTTCATCATGTTGGTGATTTAGGCACTGCAACAACAATGTGTCAAATAAAGACCCCAATTGTGAAATCATGTTTGTAAAGTGAGTTCTCTTTTAGTTTCATTCAAACTCATTTGAATCAAGATCACCTTTACTTTAAGAATAAATTCATCTGACTTGGTAAAACCATGGAAACCCATTGCCTTCAGTTGAGCAAGTAAATGTGACTTCTGTACACACGTTGATCGATGTGGGGTGGAGAGTGTGCTGACCCAGTCCATCACACAGTCCGTGTGGTACGGCCACTGCTCAGTCCCGGACAGGAAGGTTCTACAGCGTGTGCAGAGAAGATCACTGGATGTGACTTTACAGCCATCAGTGACATTTATGAGGAGCGCTGCAGGAAGTGTGCCTCCAGGATCATGGGCGACCCCCTCGCACCCCTCCCACCTCCTGTTTGTTCCTCTGCTCTCTGGGAGGAGACTGAGGAGCAGAGCCAGAACATCTCGGCTGAAGTCGAACTTTTTTCCTGAGGTCTGTCAGACTCTTGAACTGTGCACACAGACTCCTGTTTAGGCTGCCTCTCTATCTTTCCACACGTTTTATTTGTACTTGTCTGTTGGAACTGCTATGTTTTTGATGCACTTTTTAATATTGCTTTTTTTTTTATCTCTCTTGATGACTATAGGAGCATATTTCGTTCTGAATCACAAATAAAGAACCTTTACCTTTGATTAAAAACAGGTTCTATGCTACAATAATGCCATTTAGATCTGCATCACATACACAAGGATTTAATATTTATTAGTCTTTGAAAAAAACGAGGTTTGGGCAAAAAAAAAAAAAAAAATAAATAAAATTATCGCATTAATCGCATGAGTTTGAGCAATTAATCACGATTAATCGCTCATGTTATACACAAAACCAATTAATGAATTTAAAAGTAGCATATAGCTGCACTTTTATTGGAAATGTAAATAAAAGAGTCATACATTTGTTGTGCAAACAGCATTTCTTTCACAGGGGAACCTCAGAGTCTTCAAGGTGTTCTGTGAAGGCTCAAGAAAAAATATTGAATGAATTTTTGTACTACTAATATATTTTTTTCAATATTTTTTTATACAGTGAGTAATAAACATTAGACTAGTAATAATTTCTAGATCGTTGTTATAAACTTGGACTGATATTTCTTGGGTTAATATAATGGAATGGAAATGGACCAATCACATTTTTTCTTCCAATGGTATCTGGGTAAATCAGTGACTCCCCCTGCAGCACTGAACTAAAGAAACAAGCTCAGGTCAGAGTGCACGGCTGGTCCGGCCAGAGCTGGCCAAAGGCTGCGGCCAAACCCACGGCCGGAGCCTGTGCCCGAACCCGCAGCCGGGCCCGCAGCTCGTGGAGGCTCGGACATGTTGCATCTCTCGTGGTCAGAAAAAAGTGAAAAAAGTGTAAAGAAAAGACGTCAAACTTAAAGAAACGCTTATGGTGGACTTTTTCAAAATAAAAGCCAGTGAGAAACAGACGTTTACAATAAAATGAATAAATAATAAAAACTGCGTTAACAGCGTTAAAATAATTGTCAGTGATAATGACTTAATTAGTTAATGCAAAATTAACGCATTAACGTGCCCGGCCCTAAAAAAAAACATAGCACAACTTTTGTTCAGCTTAAGTTCAAACACATCATAACGTGTGTAAGAATAAAATAGTAAAGGTCATTCCATGTCAACTCAACCAAGACCCTCGACCTTAGAACTCCAAAAATACTGAAGAAACAAAACAGGAGAACAGGTGTAATTGAGCACAGACTGAATGAACAGAGGGAGGATATAGAGTCGTCCTGGGAGGATCAGGGAATGAGCGGTGGCTGTAAGAAAAACAGGGAGGAAGAAAAAGAAGGAGCAGAACAGACTAGAAAGTGGAGCTGGACTCTTGGCAATAACACATCACTGTTGAAGTTACTCATCTTATTCAAGTTAATCTTAGTCTAACTGACAAGTAAAGTGCTTTTTTCACCCTGAAAGTAACTGTTACTTTAACACAATCATTAAGATCCACAAATCCATAGCTGTGAGTAAAGTAAATGAGCTGAATGCAAGTGAACCTAGTGTTAGATTTGACAGTATTTTTTGTAGTTTTGTGTATTTATGTATTATTGTGTGGTTTGTGTGTTGGTGGTAGATTACTCATAAACCTCTTCCAGGCAGGTTTTTGATGAAGCAAAGGTAATATAACATGGGAGAAAGATACAAAAACTATTCTTTTTTTGTATAATACCCATTCTTTAAAGGTGGCATATCTGGTGTTTACTGTCTTACAATATTTTAGTTACTGTGTGATGAAAATAACTCACAATATCTGTGTATAACTATACATACATCTGCATATGTAGAATATTTGAGTTTGTGGTGTTGTTTTAATATTTATTATGCCTTATCTTTACATATCGATGCACTTTAGCGCAACTCGACAAAAACCACAGAGAGATCAAACTGGGCAGGAAGTAGTGATGCAAGAGTGAGGCTGCAGGGCAAAGTATTACCACATAAAGGAATTATTCAATGACCAAAACAGACTCATTTATCCTGCAAACCACATGCACCCAGAGCCAAACGTATGGCCTATGCTCCTCCACAATCCCTAACACAGACTCATCAGTGTACAGGCCCAACGGCACAGGAGAAACTTCTGTCCCCTTTACACAAGAGACTGTCTAAACTACATTTACCAAACTCTGATATCAGAAAACTACAAACATGGCAACGACTGAGCACACCCTCATCACACCAGTGACACCCTTGTCACACCTGTGACACCCTCATCACAAAATAATCACAAAAGCCACTTGGTTACATATTACAACCTGCTGTACATCAGCACCTTTTACCATGGAGTCACCCTAAAATGGCCTTACTGCCTCTTAGTTGTTCTAGACATGTATGTTTTTAATGCCTGCTCCTTATATATTTTGAATCTGTTGGGGTTTTTTTTCTTCAAAGTGTGATGTAGTGCACCTCTTTCAAGCACGAGGGTCTGGGGGCCACCGCCTCAGAAGATCTTGTGCAAAGCAGATATCATTTCCTATAATCTGGTGGATTTGGATGAATAAATGCAAGTAACAGCCTGACAATGGTCTGTAATATTTTACACATAATTATTATTACCACAGTTATTGGCTTCTCTTCTGCACTTTACTGATCATCTGTGTCTTTGTGTCAGTGGATCCCAGTGGAGACACACATCTATATTTCTGGGATATATCTAAAATAGCCTAAATGACCTTAAAGTTTCAAAAACAGTGAAGGAATTTACATTATTAAGGATTTTTATATTGATAAGGGATTAAATGTATACAGGGAATGCTCATCAGTTTATAAAGAAAGACATCTCTCATTTGAGAAAATATTGTTTATTAAATAATCAAATGAACTTCTGGAAATACTTTGTCATAATGTGAATAGTTGAAACGATGACGACACTTCCTCAGTGATAAAGCTGTAAAAACTGTGAAAGAGTCTAATACAGGACGTCTTAAGGGCTGTCCGGTCCCTGTATGACCGGAGCAGGAGCTGTGTTCGCATTGCCGGCAGTAAGTCAGACCTGTTCCCGGTGCATGTTGGACTCTGCCAGGGCTGCCCTTTGTCACCGGTTCTGTTCATTGTGTTTATGGACAGAATTTCTAGGCGCAGTCAGGGGCCAGAGGGGGTCCGGTTTGTGGACCACAGGATCTCATCTCTGCTGTTTGCGGAGGATGTTGTCCTGTTGGCTTCATCGAACCAGGACCTGCAATGTGCACTGGGGCGGTTTGCAGCCGAGTGTGAAGCGGCTGGGATGAAGATCAGCTCTTCTAAGTCTGAGGCCATGGTTCTCGACCGGAAAAAGGTGGCTTGCCCTCTCCGGGTGGGTGGGGAGTCTTTGCCTCAAGTGGAGGAGTTCAAGTATCTCGGGGTCTTGTTCACGAGTGAGGGAAGGACGGAACGGGAGATTGACAGGCGGATCGGTGCAGCTTCGGCAGTGATGCGGTCGCTGTATCGGACCCGTGGTGAGCTGAAGATTTACCGGTCAGTCTTCGTTCCTACTCTCACCTATGGTCATGAGCTCTGGGTAATGACCGAAAGGACGAGATCGCGGATACAAGCGCTCGAAATGAGTTTCCTCCGCAGGGTGGCTGGGCGCTCCCTTAGAGATAGGGTGAGGAGCTCAGTCACACGGGAGGAGCTCGGAGTAGAGCCGCTGCTCCTCCACATCGAGAGGAGCCAGTTGAGGTGGCTCGGGCATCTGTTCCGGATGCCTCCTGGGCGCCTCCCTCGGGAGGTGTTCTGGGCATGTCCCACCGGGAGGAGGCCCCGGGGAAGACCCAGGACACGCTGGAGGGACTATGTCTCTCGACTGGCCTGGGAACGCCTCGGGGTCCCCCCGGAGGAGCTGGAGGACGTGTCTGGGGTGAAGGAAGTCTGGGAGTCCCTGCTTAGGCTGCTGCCCCCGCGACCCGGCCCCGGATAAGCGGACGAAAATGGATGGATGGACACACACACATATATATGTACATACATACAAGTAACAAAACCCCCATAGTTTCATCTCACATAATCATTAACATAAACACAGTGTTCCTAGAATCAACAGCAGTGACAGTCAGTTTTCAGATAAGTTAACAGAGTCGTTCTAAAAGAGCTGAGAGAAGTTGGAGACCTCAGTGATGGAGGCAGATTGTTCCAGTCTGAGGAGACTCAAAGTGAAAGAACTTCCGACCTGCCTCCTTACAGACGGGAGGTACAGTACAGGTTAGATACTGAGAGTGTTGAAGAGAGTAAATTGTAGTAGTCAACATTTCAGATATGATGGAAAGTCAAAATAAATACTTTCAAAGATAAACATAAACGCCTTTTTTCAGGCTGTAACCAGTCAAGCTGATCATACCGTATTTTTCTGACTATAAGATGCTCCGGAGTGTAAGTCGCACCAGCCACAATATGTGCAATGAAGAAGAAAGAAAATATATATGTAAGTCACCCCAGACTATAAGTCACACTTTTTGGGGGAAATTTATTTTATAAAATCGGCTTGATTTTGAAATTGATAGAGAATTTTTAGTAATAACAATAGAAGAGAGAAGAACAGACTGTTAACGTCACATATGAACAGTTCTTCAGATAAACTATAACATAAACAACAGAACAGAACAAGTTTAACAAACTCTCCATCTCACTCCAAATCACTAAATCCATTCAATTCTTCATCCTCGGTGTCACTTCTGAACAACTTGACCTCGACCTCTGGAGGTAAACAGAGCGCCGCAAACTCTTCTGTGTCGCTGTCGTCAGACTCAGCATCAGTTCCAGTTAGAATTATTCGGGTCTTTCTGAATCCCGACAGGATGGTTTCAGTGTCACTGAAGTCCAGACTTTGTCCATCCATCCAGTGACTTCAGGAAAGTTTCATGGTGCATCCTCCAAACTTTTTCTTTCTGCTGCTCAGTTACCATTTTCGGCTGCAGATTTCATGACTTGCAGTTTGTAATCTGCAAAATCTGATTTTGATTTGGAGGCATTTGTGTTCAGTCTTCTCAGTCGTCTTTATAAGTTTGTTGAAATGTTAAATTGTTCAGTGATACAGAAGTAATGGTGCGATCGACTGACATGATACAGACAGAACAGAGGCTCTTTCTGCAGGAGACATGTGCAGTAGAGTGAAGTGACAGTGGTACAGGAGGAACAGGAGCAGCAGATACTCACACACAAGACTAGAACCTCTCACCGCTTTAGTGTGAACATTTTAATGTATACGTTGCACTGGAGTATAAGTCACAGGAAACACCCAAACCATGAAAATAGAGCAATTTATAGTCCAAAAAATAACTCACAGTGATGAGTTCTATATAAACATTTTAAGATGAATCTACATAAAGTGTTGAACAATACAGTTAGTGGTTTAATGTTTGAAAAAAAAAAATATATATATATATATATATATATATATATATATATATATATATATATATATATATATATATATATATACACAGTTGCAAGTGCCTTAACTCAATAATCATCTTGAGAACCTAAATAACACTTTATAACATCAACAACTTTGCCATCCATGTCCAGTGTTTTGGTAATGAAGACTAAATCAGGATTACAATTGTCACCTAGAGCTATAAGTATTTACCTCTGGAGACACAAAATCTTTCTCCTGTAAAGCTCTGATGGTCACGTAGAATTCTCAGCCATATCTCAAATGTACCGTTTCAAAGGTTACTAAGAGAAATGACTCCAGACTAGTGACCTTCTGCACATTTATTAGATTAGAGCATGTACAGTGTAACCCGTCCTGACAGCACAGACGCACACACGGGGCCCGCTCCCTCTGCCCGCGGTCCGTTTAGAGGTTTAGACCGAGACTTCCTCCAGAGAACTCATCTTCTCTATTTGTAAACACAAGGGCCCTCTCCTGCAGTGGGTATTAAACATTTGTCCTTGTCTCAGAGTGTGTAAGTAGATACACACTGAAATTGGGTTTAAGCTTCCTCATAACCACCACCCTTTCACACACTTTCACACAAAGAGAGAGGGGCGAGGTGGGTTGAGAGTCTTGTCACTATCTGTTCACACTTTACCTGATTTGGTTAAAACTTGTAAAACAGAATAAGCTTATATGGCATGTTTTGAAGTTGTCCAAAGTGACACCTCTCTTGAACTCCCAGTGTAGTAGGACTGGGGGATGTGGGGATCAAAATCCTGCCACGATCTGCTATTTTGGTCATTTGCTCACTTTCCCTCCTTCTCTTTGGTCAGACTCTGTAATTCTCTGAGGTGGATTTAACTAATCACAGTCAAATGTGAAGAAGCAGATGACTGACTTAAATACTAGAGAAAGAATAAAACAAGTGCACATGAATTATGATAAAAATGTGATGTGGCTCAGACATTATTGTGACATAAAGTTTTTGCTGCCACCACTTTGTATAAGATCCCCTCTTTGTGTGCGTTTGTGCTCCATACCATAGACACGCTTGTGAGCAGTGAATGAAGATTAAAATGTGACGGGTGAAAAACAAAGAACCATGATGAGTCCAAGCTTTAGAGACTTGTAATTGCCTGACTATTAACCAGAAATGTGCAGCTGAAGTGCAGACAGCTCAGTTTAAAGCTGCTGCCTCGATCAGTGTGTCCATTGTAAACTTGAGCATCTCTTATCATGTGCACTGCTCTGTCTGACCTTGTCTCTGCTCCGTTTGTCCAGAGATTATCGTCACGGCGACTCACAAACACGCTGGAGTGCACTGCTCGTGTGATAAGGCACTAGACTCTATGAGGCTGTGAAGTAGAAGAGGACGGTTCACACACTGTAGCCAGAGTGCCATCTGTGCCCGCTCATCCAGGCCCCAGGAAACTCCAGCCTGCAGGCTCCTCGAGAGCTTCTCATGTGGAGAACACCACTGTGAGCTAATCAGCCCTACATTCAAACACTGCGCCGACGGGTCTCTTCATTAAAGCATATTCCATCTATTCATTTTGTACAAAAAAACATTAGTGTATGTATGTGTGTGTGCAAAAGTCTCACTCCGAGAGCGTCAATAAGTGACATTTTGTCAGTGCCCTTTGGCGTCAATACAAAACGAAAGTAGTGCCCATTTGCGTCCAGCAATGACGCGAAGTGTTTTTCATTCATCTTAAGGAGAGTCCCACAGCGGTGAAATGTGACGAGTTGCGCTGTTCTTTTTGAGACAATATTTTCAATATTTGTTCGAAATATTATTCATATTTTCTAGTCCTGGTTTAAGACCTGGTTTAAACCTGGATTTAGTTCTGATTTTAGTCCTGGTTATAGTTCCGGTTTAGAGCCACCCGCGCACGGAAGGCCGCCACGCGCGGGACGAAACGCAGCGCGGGTGGACGAACGGGAGGTGAGCGCACGGGAGCGCACGGGAGTGCACGGGAAGCGGGCGTACGGGAGCGCACGTGAGCGCTCGGGAGGCGGACGCACAGGGATGGCGGATGCGCACGGGAGGCGGACGCACGGGAAGAGGCGCTGCGCTGGAGGCAGACGCACGGGAGGCGGGCGCACGGGAGGCGGGCGCACGGGAAGCGGGCGCGCACGGATGGCGGTCGAGCACGGGAGGCCGGTGCACGGGAAGCGGGCGCGCACGGATGGCGGTCGCGTACGGGAGGCCGGTGCACGGGAAGAGGCGCTGCGCTGGAGGCGGGCGTACGGGAGGCGGCCGCGCACGAGCGCGTATAGCAGTAGGACTCTTATCTCTGCCGCTATTAGACAGCGACCGGAGAATCATTCTAGAATTTGTAGGCCATTGATTCTGACTGACTATAAGAAGTTACCATGGTTACCACTGACACGGAACTCTCAAAACATCGAATAACTTGATGCTTTTAAAGTGGCTTGTGCAGTGTTTGTAAAAGTAGCCTATTTTCTCATGATATTGTTTTGTCAGTAAATTCTATTAGTGGTGATTTAAAAACAAAACTAAACAACTAAACATGATTCCCCCCCCCCCCCCCGTTATCGTCATTTTCGACACTACACTTCCCATAGTTCATTGGTTTGGTAAGGCGCCAGGTTCATCGATTGTAATTTATATTTACATTTTTATTAATTAATCTTACCCTTCGCCTTTATTACTCCCTTGTGTAAAATATCCGTACGTGGAATATTACAAATTTTATACTTAAAATATATTCATAATGCCGCGCAAATGACGTCAGCGTCCACGACTCTCCTATCCCAGTTCCCGCCATCTCCCACCAGCATTTGCTGTTTTCCGTTTGTGGAGGTAAGTAGCACATTATTTCAGAATCTTAAGAATGCATTAAAACGCGATATATTATTAATTTATGAAAAGCCATAAAGCCCCAAATGACTCGATGGGTAGTATGATTACAGCAGGTAGAATTTTACAATGTTTCAAATGGAGGACAAACATAAATCTGACAGATTCAGTGGTTTTGGAAAGAATTTCCATACGTATTAATAGGACATTTTTGATTATCTTTAGGCTATTTGTTTGGTCGACAAGAGATATAAATTCTTCCATACTTGTAGACAAATCTTCTTCCATAAAGAATTTATCGACAACTATCAGATTTAGATTCAATTTTTTTGTCATTACACTTGCATAAATACAAGGTCATGTATAAACACAAGGTAAGAAAATGTGTTTTAGCATCTCATCAGAAGTGCAAGGAACAGCAAGTACGATATATACAAAATGTGGAATATATATACAGAATAGAATAGAAAGAAAGAATAAGAAAGAAAGACCAAAGCTTAAAGGCGAACAACAGTGATTTCATAGGGCCAGTAATTACAGAGATATGAACCATAAATGAGGTCAACAAACTACAATTTGACAACTAAACAGCAAATACCACCATAGGATTTGAACCAACAGCTTCATTTTAAACTAAAGGATTAGAATTAGGTATGTCATAGAAAATTATCATGGCACATAAACTCCACCCGTTTATAAAGACTTAATTCTTTGAAATTGATGTAATGCAGTGATTACCAATGTATACCATTCTTACCTGTGCAATCTATGTTTTTTTTTCCACCCGGTCCAGCACATCATCAGATCTGTATTTACTAGGTATACATTAGAGCACAACACAAAGGCACTTTTAAGAGCCCATCTGTCTTTCTGTCTGTTCTGCTTTTCTATTGTATTGTGGTTCTTTCTCTGTGTCTTGTTCCTGTCGCTTGCATATCTCTGTCTTTGTCACTGTCTTTGTCAATTTGTTGTCTGTTCTGATCATCATGAGCGATTCGGAGCTGCAGGAGTTACTGCAGAGTGAGGTCAGTGATGATCTTAAGGGGGTTGATGAGTTCCTCTGCAAGCTGCAGAAGGAGGCTACTGCTGTTCAAGAGGCTGCAGTGCCAATGGTGAGGTGGAAGAAAAGGAGAAATGATGGAAGCCTTATCTGTACAAAGCCACGATCAAATAGGAAGCAACCTTCTAAGGGTGAGTGGTGTTCTTGCACAAAAAATGTACATATTTTCGCATCAGTGCTCAGATTTTATCTTGGCATGTGTCTATATATGGTACATGCATTTATATTTCTAATTGTACACCTTGTTTTAATTTTGTTGAAGTGTGATATTTCTTAACTTCTATAATACTTCTCTTATTTTTTGGCAATGATCAGTACAGTGAATGATATTCTCTGTGTTACAGCTGATTGTAGCCGCCTGCCTCAAGCAGATGCTGCTCCGAACCTGACTGAGGTGGTCTTCACTCCTGAGACAATTGGTATGATATTTGTCAGTCATTAGCTTAATGTAACATATTATTGTTTTCTCATGGCATGGTTTTGAACAATACTTAATCCTCCTTATTTATTATCCTTATTTATTTCTACTTTTCTTTGTACCTCTTTCATCAGAGGAGTTTATGCTGGAGCTCCAGCATGCCTTAAGTGATACTACAGTGGATCAGTTGGAGGAAGAACTACCTCATCAAACTTCTCCTCAAGCATCGTCAGAGTGGAGCAAACGAAAGTGCATGTTTGCTGAGAACTGGAGGACAGAAAGACCACGCCTGGTAAACACCATTATGGCAAATCAACACGTGGTTCCCAAGACTTGCCAGGAATGTTGGAGCAATGCTGCTGTCGTGCGGTGCCGTGACTGCCGTCCACACCCTTTCCTCTGCTCTGAGTGTGACCGCAGAATGCACGATAGATATCCCCTTCACAACAGGGAGGCCACTATTGCTGGCTTTTATCAGCCATTGCCCCCAACCAAAGTCATCTGCAGTGGGGCTCTTTGCCATTATGGTAAGCTTGTAAAAAGTGCTAAACCATATACCTATATACAATTTGCAGCCCATTCTGGATTTGTCCTTGATTTGTCCATAATCTGGGTGCTAATGGTTTTTTACATTTTAGATCGTCTTGTGCCTCTGGAGATACCTGCTACAATCTGTGGTTGTGCCAGCTCCCTAAAGCTCAAACCAGGAAAGCGTGTGGCTGTGGTTACAATGAATGGTAGGAATCAGTGTATTGTTGAAAAAAACTTACACTACAGATATTACACATGTTTTTATAACTTAATTTTGTATCCTACAAAATAATGCTACTGAACAGAAAGATTGTTGGGACTTATAGGATAGGATGTAAAACTAATACAAATTATAACACAAGTAGTAACTTGAAAAATATTTGTATATATAAAAAAACATGTTTTATTTTTTAAGGACGACATGATTTGAGTATTCCAGAGCTCGTGTGTGACAGTTGCTGCACTACATGGTCTGCAGGAATTGATACAATTCTGGCCAGTGACTTCTGGCCAGCAACACTCAACTTTGCCACTCTCTTTGCCACTGATGTGTTTGCAACTTATGAAGACATGAAAATGGCAGCACCTGGCTTGTCTTGTCAGGCATTCTTAAGAATGCTTGATCTTAGAACTGTCCGTTTTGGCCGTGTACGTAATTTATTGTTTATCTCTCTCTCGCTCTCTCTCTCTCTCTATCTCTCTCTCTATCTCTCTCTATCTCTCTATACACAGTATGTGTGTGTTTATGTGTGTGTGTGTGTGTGTCTTTTTTCATTAGATGGGGAAGATCTCTGCTGACACCTTCCTGAGAAGTTTTTTTGAGTGGGAGGCTGTTAAGTATGGGCTGGATAGGTGCTGTAAAGAGGAGCCCTTTACTTGTCCGGCCTGTAGTCCAGATATGCTTGCAGTTTCTGTTGATGGAAACCGTAAGCATTACCGCTTTAAGAGTGCATCAAGGTAATAATAAATAATTGTAAACTGTACATACAGATAAAATATCACAATTCTTCTTATATGAATTCAAAAATGTTTTCAGCTAATTTATTACTGTTCCTATATTCTTTTTAGATCTGAAGAACCAGCAATATTTGATGGAGTTTTCCTTGCAAATGATAATGATGTTGCAAATTTTGTGAACTATGTTCACAGCAAGGCCAAACATGTATTGTTGCTAATTTTAATCTATAATTTAAAAAAATCTTCAAATATCAAAATAATTTGCATTTCTCATTTTTACTAGGTGTCTGGAAGAGGTATTTGTGGTGGCGAGTGGTCGGCAGCCAGAGAAACCTCCCGCAAATCTGCCAGCAAGCTGGATGAAGAGGGACTTGAGCTAGCAGTGTGCCGGCATGGAGTTCTTCTCTGTGCACTTAACATGTACAGGGGGGAAATTTTTGCTTATCCTTTGTACCTCCAACAAAAGGTCACAAACAGCACCTTTTTTTGCATGGATGTTACCTGCAAATATTGGCCATACCTAAAAAAGGTCTCAAAGCTTTGTCCAGAGCTCCAGGCACTGCTCAGCATGAAACCTTTTCTTTCCGTGTTCCATGCAAAAGCTCATGACTTCAAATGTGAAGTAAGTGAAGTTACAGAATGAATCCTTGTTAATCCCTCCTGTAACCTTCTTGTTTTCAAACAGGTTAAATGGAGTGGAGCATATCAGGAGGGGGCTGGCTTAACCCTTGGAGAGGAGGTAGAACAAGTTAATGCCTTCCTCTCTCGCATTGCTGTGACAACAAAGCATATGTCAAAAGCAGGTGACATAACACATACTTTAAGAGTGATTCATTAACAGTGTATATAAAACTCCCAATGAGTGACGAGCTTCCTTTCTGTTATAGGGCGTTCTGACATGTTAACCCTTATGGCCATACGGTGGAATGATCACAAGTTTGAAAACTTGGCTGGATCCTTGTCCCGCAGATATCTGAAAGTAATAACTATTATATATAGTGTGTTAATGACATACCATATCAAGAACATATCAATTTTTGATTGATTGCATTTTTACTTACAGACCATAAAGATGTTGGATGAAAAAGAAAAAATGCTGGAATCCACAAAAAATGAACTTTTTGCTCACTGAGGTCCAGTTAAAGGACTGGGTAGCTGATGTGAAGGAGTGGGCTGAATGTGAGAACTGTCATACATATAAAATAATACATGTTCTGTCTAAATTGAGATTATGATGTATATTCATGTTACTATGGAATTTTTTTCTCTATAGCAGCAACCACTCCAACAGATGAAGATGCCTTGGAAAGTAAAATTGAGGGACTGGTAGCAAGCATCAAGAGACGCACGCAGCATTTGTACAAAGACACAGACGGCTGCAAAGCTCGAGCCAGGGTCCGACGCAAACTCAGAGAGGAGAAGCGGATGTTATGTACTTTGATTGAAGAGTATAACACCCTGAGCTCAAGCGCAGAGGCTCTGTGCATTGACACAATCCTCAGAGAAGATGTCGCATGGCCATGGCAGGACAACCAAAATGGTACATTGTTCACAATTTAGTCACTTGTTTCCATAGTTTTTCCCATAATACATTTACTTCAGTTAGCCTGGAGACATAATAATATTCTTTCTATTTAGATACAAATTTAGACACACACATCCATTCATACATATTCACACCCACACACGATTGGATGTGTATAGTAAGCACTTGTTATTAACTATTAATTGATTTATAATTTTACAATTAACCATCATGAAAAAAGTATTTAGCTTTCAATTTGGAGGAAGTGCTGCTTCTACATTTTACTTGATTTTATCACATACTTTATGCATTTTAATCAGTAATGATGATTACCTTTATGCTATTCAGATCATGTTACCATTAGGACAAAGAGACAAGTCTTTGACCAAGTCATGGGAGTGAGAAGACTGCAAGAAGAGAAGAAGATTCTTGTTGCTGAGATGGCTAAGCACTGGAATTATCTCCTAGCTCGTTTTGGTTGGCTGAAAGAGCATTCTGACCGGGTCTCTAAACTTCCCCTCCAGAGTATGTAGTTTTATGAAAAAATATAATGATTAATTATTAGTAACTGTTTTAAATTTCTTTTACTTTTAGATACTCAGGATGTACTCACTGATGAGGCCCTGAATGGCATGCAGGCCCTATTAAAAAAAAAGTTGTGGAACATTCGGCAAAAAATACAGGATGTGAGGCACTGCTACTTGAGCATTTTTACTGGAGCAGAGTGTGACTTCCTACAGATGACTTCTGATTTTCCAGACAGTGACTTGGACAGTGACTTGGACAGTGATTTGGACAGTGATTTGGACGACATGTACTAAAATGTAGTTCTATAGACCTTAAATTGTTTAATTCATTTATCGGTCGAGGGTGTCCTCAGTCCACCAAAGTTTGTACTAGTTGACTAATTTTTCTATTTGTATTATAAGGATTTATATGGATCAGATCAGAAAGGAGAAGGCTTAGAGTGAGTTAGTTTTGGATTTAGGAATCAACTGTGAGTTAAAAGGGCCCATATTTACGCTGTTTTCTGGCCTATGTTTTATGTTACATGATTTTATAACTTTAGTATGTGTATGGGGTTTCTACAGTTTTCATGTTTTTGTCCTTATTTTGGTTAATCACCTCATCTGTGGTTTAGGGCTGATACATGTAGTTACTATGATTAACTGAGATTCAGGAGCAGGACCACGCCTCAGCCGCCCTCTCCTCTCACCAGCGAACCACAACTCATCTCGACTACGCCTCTAATTTCCCAGAAGCCTTTATGTAGCAGCCTTTCCCATCATCCCAGTTTGTCTGGGCTAACTCGACCCCACCCTCCCATCCCCTATTTTGTCTTTCAGTCATGATACCCCTACGGGGAGGGTCCCGTTCCGACTGGGCCAATTGTAGATTGAGACGGAGCCCCCACCTAGAGTCTCAACCCAGCCATCTCTGCCCTGCTTTGTACATTATCAATAAACTTCTTCGCACTATGTTCTTGGCGTGGTCCTAGCTAGTGAATGTCTGGGTGTGTAAAGTGACAGCCTGCTGTTTTAGAGCAGCAGAAACATTAGTATTGTGTTGTATTCACACCTTTTATGTTGAATAACTATACATTGACAGCCCACAGACTGAAAATAAAATCAATATTGTACATCTTTGTCAGCAAAATTATTTTGCTGTGTTACTTTCTTCTCCAATAAAACACTCAGCTAACTGAAAAATATGAATTGATCCTTTGTATTCATTCCTATAGTAGATTTTTGAAAATGTTACATTTGATATTGTCATGTTACAATATATTCCTACAATAATGATAACATTAATCAACATATATGTTATGTGTATATTTTTTGTCTATGTATATGTCAGCATTAGGACAACAGTGAAAGTGCCTACATTATATATCCATGGTATTCAGAATGAGGAAAAGCAAAGACCATAGCAAGAAGGAAGGGTATATATGAGCCGTCTGTCCTAAGCACCAGTAAGAGACAGAGAATATATAAAAAGCACACAGATTCCACCAAGCATTCATGCAGGCATGCTACTTATAAACTATAAATGTATTATTTCCATGTGAAGGAGAGTACAAAATGCATATAAGCACAATATTGATTTGTTATTATTATTATAGTGGTGTACACATTAGTGCCTAGCCCATAATCCAGACAAAACAATAATATGTCCATGGAAACAAGCAGGTGGTGTTGCCTATAGCAGAAATGTTCCATAGTAGTGCAGTGCACCCATAAATCCTTTGAGTGAGAGGGGTTAGCCAACACAATGTGATACAATGTTTCATTGTAAATGGTAAAATTTACAATGAATGCAAGTATGTTTCATTTTGGTTTTGTTCTGTTTACAATAGGCCGACATGGAAAAAAGATCCAGCAGCCATGATATACCGGGTACTCTTGAACACTGTACTGAAAAGAGGAATCTATAAATGAACTAGTAGGACACATGCAGAGACCAGATCCAGCTTGATGTGCATGGGCTGGAGCATGTGTATAAAAACCATCATCATGATCAGCACAGGGAAGAATATTCAACAACAATTCTTCCTCACATTAAAAGAAAGATAAAAAAGTTATTTCTTGGGTATCATGGCTTCCATCATCCATAATACTTACATAGGGTTAAATTCTTACTGGAGACATGGCACTGCCTGAACCTGTTTAACACAAGTCTGAAAACAGAAACAACAGAATTATACGCACCTTTTGCAATTATCATTCATGCTCAAACACATTTACATTATGACTGTATGTCCGGTCGTTAATGTATTTGTTCAATGGCCTTCTCATTGAGTAATGCACTTAGTTAAGAGGAAATGAACACAAGAACTTCTCTATTTCCACTGGACATGTCCACTCAGTGTATGATCTATTCCTTTCATAGATTTATTTATTTATTTATTATTAATTTTTTTTTTTTTGTAAGTTTAGTCAAATTGTAGTTCTTTAGGTATATTGGTATATCATGAACTTCCAAGATCATGTGATAAGTCCATCTTCCACATATTGTAAAAGGAAAAGGAATCAGAAGTGCAATGTTATATATATAGGGTGACCAAGGTGCTCCCTTAGTCACACTGTAGAAGATAAAACAGAGCTGCACAGGTGCATCTAAGCCTAAGGAACATGTGTGAGAGCCTCTGGGCATGTCTATGTCACATCAGGAGGAGGGGTCTGTGTAAGATCATACTGTCACCTGTGTCCCACACATCAGAAAAAAGGCCTATGAGCCCATATTTAGACAGATGCTGCTGTGACATGAGCCCTAATAAGAGACAGAGGATTTATGAATGCTATAATAATGTATTTAAAAGAAATATTCACCAAAATATGTAGATAAACTTTTTTTTCTGCAAGATGATGTTGAAAGCATCTGTAAAACGTAGTCTATTTTGCATAGTGTATTTTGCTCCACTGAGAAGAAAATGATTATGGTGCATTAAATAATGGAAACAATAATTCAATCCATTAAAAGTAACTTTATTAGCCAAGCTTGTTGTTTTGCTTAACCACAAAAAGAACTCAACAATGAATCACATGTAATCACTAATGTAAACAGTTTGTACATACGCCTACACAATTTAAATGCCACTGGCTAAATAGCAGTTGTAGCCCTATAAGCTATTACTACTTCATAGCATCTGATGTAGGCTACTATTGTTGCCTCCAATTATTTGTTTACTAGTTGACAACTTTAAACAAAGTCAGAATATTCCTTTCAAAGAGAAGTGTGCATCAAAGGCAGTGTCGAGGAGGTGGGGGCAGTCTTTTAAAGGTGATAAGTGTGTCCAAATTTCTAAAATGGAGGGGGAGAGAGTAGGAGGAGCAATGGCGAAGGTGCTTTGTCTAAACTGTGTGAATGAGGAGGTTTCAGTCAGATGGAGAGCCCGTGGGGTTGTTGTAGAACCTGTGTGATGTGGTGTTTGGTTCAGGTGTGGGACCTAACTGACTCAGGGTGCATCCTAGTTTCAAAGGGGTGCAAACAATACTCTTCCATTTTATCTGTCATTATTTTACATACAAACACTTTTAAATGAGATTGCTCAGCATCCTTTTGTACCCCTGTAGACGTGGGCCTGGTGATTAGTCAGACAGCCTCTTTATTTTTCCTGTTCACTCCTTCACCTTTTCAGATATAATTTCTTCAGAGATGATCCTTTATTGCACTTATACAGTTCTTGCCACAGTGATCCCAAGGGTGTTGTCTCTGAACAGAAAACCCATTCATTTTTTTTGCCCTGACTGGTTGCTCTATAAAATAAAAAATGCAATCACATCATAGATTGCAATATATTTTAAATAACCTCTTAGCAAACACCTGCCACACTTTCTTTTGGTGGGGGGAATAACCAGAAGTCCTCAGCGTAGTCTGTTAAGGGAAAAAGACAGAGCATTGTGTTAGTACAGTGAAAAATGTATGCAAACATGAAAGTAGTAACATACTGGGCCAATGCCAATGGTCAAAATTTTCAGTTTTTCGGTATACAGTTAATATGCCTAAACTGAACTAAATTATATATTAGGTAGTGAAATTTATTAATTTATTAATCTCAATGCTATTTATTATTTTGTTATTGCTATGTACAGTGCAGATTTGGCCGCTGATTAAATGTTTGTTTTTGGGAATAAATGTTTTTTTTATTACTTAATTAATACATATAAATTATTATAATTATATATTTTTTTTCACACAAAAAAAATAGCAAGAGCAATATTTGATTAAGGATGTTTAATGTTCTTCGTAACAAACAAAACATTAGCTGGTACACTGTACCACACTGATCACCTGTTTAGACGGGAGCAGGTAGCACATTCACATCAGTTGAAGCCTTCATTGCCGAATACAGCCTCAAACTGCAATGACAAACAGAGACAGGAGCAATGTCATAAATGTAAATTATGCAAGCATTATAATGCAATGCGTCCTCTTCACCTTTGGTGTGGATGAAGATGTCTTGCTGAATCATTTGATGAATCTTTCCGCCTTGAAAATCCCTCTCAAAATCTGAAGATGTTTCTTCAGTCACAAGATAGCTGCTGACATGTGACACCATAGAATAAAGGCAGAAAATAAATAGAGGAACTTCGGTTCACATGTACATGTAACGGTGCACAGCACCACAGAGAGCAGTCACTTGAGACATTGCCTCTGTTGAGCACTTGGGATTTCTTAAAGAACTCAAGGTTGGCAAATTGCTGAAATCTGATCTCCTCTGTCCTACATTTGGATAGAACATCTTGGGTGGCGCATTACTAAAAAAGAGAATACAGTTGGTTGTTATAAATAAATATTCACACTGTTAATGACAAATATTTTCTCTGCTATGTTGCAGCACCATTGAAAAAAGTCACAATAACTTAGACTGAGGGTTGACCTACATTTGTCTATTTTAATAGTCATTTATATTGATTGTAATTACATGATGCTTCTCATTCCCATGCTTATCTTGCTTGCAGCACTGTGATTTACCCATTGTTGGACAAATAAGGGTCTGACAGTCTGACCTCACCTCCGGTGTCTTTTAAGCAGGCCATGTTTATGAAAAGAGATGCACAAATTATCATTATATTCCATAGCTGTTCTATCTCTGAGTACACACACTGCTTACCTTCTCATTGTGCTTCCCAAGAAAGCATCACCAAATATACAGCAGTCTACCACGGAGTTCATTCATTCTTTTTGCTTACTGACCCTGGTTTGTCTGTTCTTTGTCTGTATGTCAAAATAAATAAATACAATTAGACAGTCGCATCTGGACAAATATAAATATAATACAGATAGCAAACATACATTTTTAAAAAGGTCAAGATACCTGCTGCCCATTTATGCCTGACATCAAGCAGATACTATGCTCTTGCATTCATCCTGAGTGCTCTGTTTAGAAATAAGTGATCCCTGGGTTTAATCTGACCATAGTGAAACAGTTATGCTAAAACATGTTGTATTGCACGTCACTGGCAGTGGTCAACCATTTCAATAGTTCAGAAAAAGGCTAAAAATATGGATACATGGGTGTGTAATGAAATAAAACAGCAAGGAACACAAATATGCCTTGATATCTCACAAGCAAATGACAGCCTTGAGCAGGCAACTTCAGATTGTTGTACCAAGGGATGTTACAGCGGCTTAACTTGCCATCATTCCATCTTGAGTACAGATGAAGACTCAAACAACATATTTTAAAGCTGATGACTGGTTACGGTAAGATTAATGTAATGGCCAAGCCAAATTCATTACTTTGTCTAGATTTGTCTGTCATCGTCATACTTGACAATGATTGGGAATAGACATACTGTATTACTGGCATTGCATAGGGAAGTGTGCTTATTTTTGGTGAGAAATGTTACGTTAAAATCTGACTGTAGTATTACTAAGTACATTCATGCTGTTGCTGCAAAACATAATTAATAAAAGTGTAATTTCTAAAGCAACATACTTACATTTAGCACAGGTCTGTCAACTTCTCTTTCTTTATCATCATGTCGAGAGGACACCACAAGCCAGACACAGTGTACAGAAGAGGCTATAACATCAGGGTCTCCTGGTGGGTTCTCTGAATGAAGGATCATCAGAGTTTCATCAGTGGATTCATTTTTTTTTGGACCTGTGAAAAGCATTTTTTAAAAATAGCTCTTAGAGTAAAGCAAATACGCAAAACATCTGTGTAAGTTTTACCTTATTCAGAGGATTAGCCTGTTGACAGGACCATAGTAGTTCACTGCCCCTGAGAGGTGAAAATCTGACTCGCAAAATATAACATACAGACTTGCTCTATGCCCACTAATGTTAACACACTAACAATTACTGCCCCTGCCACCTCCATTAAATACTGTTGATCAGTAACGGTCTTCTACAGAACAGCAATAGGTTGTAGTCAAGTTAAGATTTGATAACTTGAAATATAGGTACTATATGAAATGTTCTTGCTTAACTGCAGTGTTGTTGTCTAGGATGGGAGCCTCTTCAATCTTTTGTCTGAGGGGTGTGAGCAGTTATACGCTGGAGTGGAATATCTATAACTTCTCTAAACCTAAACAAGGATTTTGAAAAAATGTCAGACTACAAAGAATAAAACAGGTCTAAAACTGTATATGGTAAGCATGACTGATTTGACTGTATATCCGCAAAAAACAACAACAACAATACAGAGAAAATGTTTATTTTAATTGTTAAACGAACTGCAACTACTACTAGAATGATGACAACAACCACGACGACTACTACTACTACTACTATTTTACAATTACAACAAATACTGTGCTGCTGGTTCCCAGGTGTCATCCCACACCTTACCACTGCAAACAGTATAAGACAAAAAAAAAAAAAAAAAATCAGCTTTTTTAAAAAAATTTTTTTAACTAAGTTCTAATTAAGTTACAATTATTTGATAGCACATCACTTACCACTCAGGACATGGTGACCATCGGATTTTGACTTCTGCTTTTCCCTAAAAAAATTGCATTATAATAATACTGAATGCATTTTAAACCATGAAGAAAAATAGCATAATCTTGCTTCATAATACACATCATAAACCTGGCCTTATAATGTTACTGGAGATATATCCTGATATAAATGGGGATGATATAAAAGTTGAAAGAGTGTGATATAGTGCAGCCTCTCAGTTGTGAGGGGAGGCAGACAGATGTCTTAGCTAAGTCTAGAGTTATTTAAAGCAACAACACGTAATTTTCTGGAATCCATGGAAATAGAAAGTTAATAATATTACAGTCAAAGAAACAACATTTCCATGGAAAAAAAGCAGGAGATTCTCCTCCAGGCAAAGTAAGACTCAGTAAGATTTTGAATGTTTTACAGTGTAATAAAATATATGTAAAGGCACTGCAGAGAAACCTTCAACATACTGCTCAACTGGTCTGCAAAACTGTCATATACTTACATTTGAAACTCTTTTGTCCACTACTTTTTCATAGCGAAACACCTTTTGATATTTGTGTCTTTTACATTCTACAAAAATAGATAAAGATAATAATGAGCACTGTACCCATATAAAAACAAAAACTGTTCAACAACTAACCTTTCACATGAGGTCTCTTTTTTGCCTGTTTTTGAGTTTTCTGGGTGGAGAAAGAGGGTGGAGATGAAGGAGTGCAGGCTGAAAACACAACAAAACCAGAATGAGAAAAGGAAGACTAGCGAGATGAGAAAGGCAAGAGGATGGAAGACCAGTAGATGGTGGAGCAGAAGACAGCGGAGCAGTGGATCTTAAAGCAGAGGACAGCGGAGCAGTGGATTTTGGAGCAGGGGATCGTGGAGCAGTGGATCTTGCAGCAGAGGACAGCAGAGCAGTGGCTCTCGGAGCAGTGGATCTTGGAGCAGTGGATCTTGGAGCAGGGGATGGTGGAGGAGTGGCCAGCGGAGCAGTGGATGGTGGAGCTGAAGATGGGGGAGCAGGGGATGGAGGGACCATAGGGTCAACAGGGACAAGATGAAGTATAATAGTTTCTGCTGCTTTCTCAGGGGGCATTGAGGCAGGGGTTGAAGGGAATGGTAGAGCAGGGGATGGTGGAGCGGTGGATGGCAGAGAAGTGGACGGTGGAGCAGTGGATGGCAGAGAAGTGGACGGTGGAGCAGTGGATGGCAGAGAAGTGGACGGTGGAGCAGTGGAGTGGACAGTGGATGGCAGTGGAGCAGTGGATGGCAGGGAAGTGGACGGTGGAGCAGTGGATGGCAGGGAAGTGGACGGTGGAGCAGTGGATGGCAGGGAAGTGGACGGTGGAGCAGTGGATGGCAGGGAAGTGGACGGTGGAGCAGTGGATGGCAGGGAGTGGACGGTGGGAGTGGATGGCAGGGAAGTGGACGGTGGAGCAGTGGATGGCAGGGAAGTGGACGGTGGAGCAGTGGATGGCAGGGAAGTGGACGGTGGAGCAGTGGATGGCAGGGAAGTGGAGTGGATGGCAGGGAAGTGGACGGTGAGCAGTGGATGGCAGGGAAGTGGATGGTGGAGTGGCATGGTGGAGAAGTGGATGGTGGAGCAGTGGATGGTGGAGAAGTGGATGGTGGAGCAGTGGATGGTGGGGTCTGTGGTACAACTAGTCCTGCAAACATTGGAATACAATTACAAACTCAAACACACACAGGTACAATGCATATTGTTTTCATAAGTGTTCTATTAAAGCAAAAAATATGTCCAATGATCTCCATTGGGTTTTATAATCAGATAAAAGCAAAGTGTCTGTTCCTGGCACTAATGCAGCACTCAGCACCAGACTGAACACCAGCTTGAGCTCAAAGTAGCAGCTCTGCCTACAAAAGCCCCTTTGGACAAAGATCTTTCTTTCTTCAGACTCTGGAATGATGCTGTTATGATTGGGGCTATTGTGTGGTATGATGGTTGTATCTTTGTGTAGTTTTTGGTAGGTCTGTTTTTTCTATATACACCCTTATGTAATGCTAAAATTTCTACAATTATAAAACACAAATCTTACTTTTAAGCAGGTGCTCATAAAGTTTAATCATTTTTTTTATTATCTCTTCCGCTATTGGGTCGAGGTTGAAATGGTGGAACATGTCTGCCAAGAACCCCTTCCTCTTAGGCTGCCCAATGAACAAAATTGGGTTTTGCCCAAGTTCATGCAGCTTAAATGTCTGCAAAAAAAAAAAGATTATAGCAAGTTAATAAAGATTACTAACAAATTAGTTGTTTTATTCATATTTATCAGTGATGTGACGAGCAAAAACAGACAAAATGAACTTACAGACAGTTGGGCAGACTTGACAATTCTGCCAACATTCCTATTTTTTTTTACTCCTGTGGCCCATCCAGACTGCTTTATTTTTTCTTTCTGCAGGTGGACCTTTCCACCTTGTGGAAGCAAGACAAGGCAGGCCCCACAGGTTTTTCGAGCCAAAGGGTTCGCCTCCCCACATGAGGGGCAAGCCTTCACTTTTGGCCTTGTCATCATTTTAACTAAAAAAAAACAACCAAACAAACAAACAAACAAACAACACAGTGTATATAACAGGTGTTCATCCAAAAAGTAGTATTTTGACAAGTGTAGCAATTTAGAGCAAATAGAGATAGGGATTGTGTACAGAATGTTTACCTAATACTAAGCCAATGAAAATGAACATTTTAAAATGCTAAACTTAAAAATGATTGTAACACCATAGCGTGGATTTACAGTCATACAGTATCGTATTGTTCCACGGCTGTATTGTTTACTTTTTTTTTTTTTTTTATGTTGCTTTATGATAAGTTGTGCTATATTATCTAGCATTAAATTACACAAATGTTTATTATGTGGTTATTAGCATGTATAAGACTTACTTACTTATTTTAATAGCTCCACGGACTTCCACAAACGGAAAACAGCAAATGCTGGTGGGAGATGGCGGGAACTGGGATAGGAGAGTCGTGGACGCTGACGTCATTTGCGCGGCATTATGAATATATTTTATGTATAAAATTTGTAATATTCCACGGACGGATATTTTACACAAGGGAGTAATAAAAGCGATGGGTAAGATTAATTAATAAAAATGTAAATATAAATTACAATCGATGAACCTGGCGCCTTACCAAACCAATGAACTATGGGAAGTGTAGTGTCGAAAATGACGATAACGGGGGAGAAAAAAAAAATCATGTTTAGTTGTTTAGTTTTGTTTTTAAATCACCACTAATAGAATTTACTGACAAAACAATATCATGAGAAATAGGCTACTTTTACAAACACTGCACAAGCCACTTTAAAAGCGTCAAGTTATTCGATGTTTTGAGAGTTCCGTGTCAGTGGTAACCATGGTAACTTCTTATAGTCAGTCAGAATCAATGGCCTACAAATTCTAGAATGATTCTCCGCTCGCTGTCTAATCGTGGCAGAGATAAGAGTCCTACTGCTATACGCGCTCGTGCGCGGCCGCCTCCCGTACGCCTGCCTCCAGCGCAGCGCCTCTTCCCGTGCACCGACCTCCCGTACGCGACCGCCATCCGTGCGCGCCCGCTTCCCGTGCGCGCGCGCCTCCCGTGCGCGGCCGCCTCCCGTGCGCGGCCGCCTCCCGTACGCCCGCCTCCAGCGCAGCGCCTCTTCCAGTGCGCCCGCCTCCCGTGCGCGACCGCCATCCATGCGCGCCCGCCTCCCGTGCGCGTCCGCCTCCAGTGCGCCCGCCTCACGAGCGCTCCCGTACGCCCGCCTCCCGTGCGCTCCCGTGCGCTCACCTCCCGTTCGTCCACCCGCGCTGCGTTTCGTCCCGCGCGTGGCGGCCTTCCGTGCGCGGGTGGCTCTAAACCGGAACTATAACCAGGACTAAAATCAGAACTAAAACCAGGTTTAAACCAGGTCTTAAACCAGGACTAGAAAATATGAATAATATTTCGAACAAATATTGAAAATATTGTCTCAAAAAGAACAGCGCAACTCGTCACATTTCACCGCTGTGGGACTCTCCTTAAGATGAATGAAAAACACTTCGCGTCATTGCTGGACGCAAATGGGCACTACTTTCGTTTTGTATTGACGCCAAAGGGCACTGACAAAATGTCACTTATTGACGCTCTCGGAGTGAGACTGTGTTGACAGTTTCATAAACTAGAGTACATATGTATCTGTTCAATACATTTTTATATCAGATGCATTAACTTGAATTTTTGGCCTTGCTGTTTACTTCTGCTTGACCTTGGCCCATATATTATTTATCCGATACCTGATCGGCGCATAACGTCTGAGTCTGGATCGAGTCCGCAGTCACGTGATCGGCTCGGGACAAGCCTATTTAAAACACTGCACTTTGATCGCACACAGCACTTTCAACACATTTGCACATATGACAAAAGAAATAGCACACAATTGGTTTTAAAAATGATTTATTGTCCTTCCTTTTACCATGTTTTAATCCTGAGGCACAGTAGCACTTTAATTGGAAGCTGCTGGTCCCTGGAGGGAAAGGAGACAATGAGCCAATTACATTTTAAACTGAAGTAGTGCAATTTACGGTGCAATATCTGTTTTTTAAATGTTTTAAGGGTTGATGTGTGTGTTAGTGTATTTTATTGTGTTTTAGTGAATGGTGTGGTTCTGATTTTCCCATATGGAAAAGGTATAGACAAATCATACACCATTTTAACATGTTTCATATGAATCTTAAAAGATTTATATATGACAGTGAAAACACTTACAAGATCTTTGGTAAATATGTGCAGCATGAAACATATAAAACTTTGTAACCTGCAAGAGCTGAATATAACACTAATCCCACACACAATGTCCTCACAAGTGTTGGACAAATGTCATTTATTTCATAGAAAAACAAGTGAAATGATGATTGTTTCCTTAAACTCAGTTTTCAGCTGTGTTGTCTGTGTGAGAGAGTGAGAAAGAAAATTATCACAGTGTGTGTGCGTGTGTGTGCGCGTGTGTATGTGTATGTTTGTGTGTGTGTGTGTGTGTGTCTGTGTGTGTGTGTGTGTGTGTGTGTGTTGGGCAGCATGGGGGTAAACACAGTAATGTAAATCTTGCATTACAACCTTAAAAAACATCTTCCACTGATCTCACAGTGAACAAACATCAGGCTGTAAAAATATTTTTACTCTGCAAAATCCTAATTATTACAAAGTTCTATATTGACTTGTAATATTCCAAAAAGCAGCTACACACTTCTGTTTTTTCACATGCCTCAACTGACAAGACGTCATATCAGTTACAAATACCAAGGTACTTGTAATTGTCCTCAATATCTGCTGTTGTTCCCTCTGGAATCAGCAGCTGCTTTGCTCAATTGGTGAGTCACTGGATCCACATGGTAGATCTGGGTTCAAATCCCCCTTCAGTCTCAGATTGTTTTTTCTGCAACATATAATTAAAGAATACAAACATTACATGGAACATACAAAGACAATGTAGTTGATCATGCACATTACCTGTAAATGTCATGCAAAATGTTCACTTTATCTTTACTACTAGTTTTTCATAATATAGTTGTATGAGAAAAATGTAAAAGGGGAAACACTTTCAGGAGTAAAACACACATGACACATATGAACCTTATATTAAGATTTACTACAAAGACAGTGGTAGATTCTTTTTTTTTTTTTTTTCAGTTTTTTTCCATATGGGTTACTTACCTCCTTTTTATCTTCTGTCCAGGTCCTTAAAGAGTCCTTCTGGAAACGAGCTCCCTCTTTTAAGGTTCCGGGCTGGACCATGTGTATTATTTTGTACAGGGGTATTAGGTTTGGTGTTTTATTGGTTTATGGGTTTTAAAATTGAATTGGTGTATGGTTTTAGGGTTTTTATGTATATAGTTGGTGGTTTTAATAGTTATTTGGTTTTGAGTTATTTTATGGAGGTTTAGGTTAAGATTTTAAGCTAATGATAATTTTACCATCACTATTTTAGCTGTAGTAGTTTTATCCAATCAGTAAGACCAGTATAAAAGGCACCAGTCTGTGTTCTGCTGCTGGAGAGGAAACTGCTGCCTGCCTCCATTTTGCACCCTGCACTTTTTTTGCACTTGCACTTTTTGTAATTATTGAAACAAAAAGTAAGTTGTGGACCACTGCTTCTCGTCTGTGTCTGGATTTTTAACCTTACTCACTGAACCCCAACCCGCATTACGGTCAACCTACATCACATGTCAAAGAGCCCTTGTTCAGTCCTGTGGTTTACTGAATATATGTACATGTTTTTCACCTTTTCATGTTTTTTTTTTAAGATGCCTTACTCTGCGCAGAGGGAATGAAAACATGTGATTCCATGGGGCAGTTTTCACATCCTGACCTGAACACACTGACCGACATGAGTGACAGGCCAGACACAGAGAGAGACACAGACACAGAGAGACATGGACAGACTGCCTATTGAGTGGGTGCACTTGTTTTATAGAGGTGTCATTGTGGCACCCACGGGACTGGCGTCTGGGTGACATTGGAAGAAGAGGGTGCTCGGTGCATAAATCGCACTGTGCACGTACTTTTAGACAAGCCTGTTTTGTGGTATAAAATTGTTGGTGTTTTTAAAATAGTTTTTATTACCTAAAAACAACAACAACAACAACAAAAAACAAACACCAGAAAGGTTATAAATGCAAGAAACACCAGTTTAATGCCATACTGTGGAACATTAGCCACAGTATGGCACAGATGCAATAACCATCACCCTCCACTCGGTGCTGAACCACTTGGAGAAACAGGAGAGCTTATGTCATTCACTGACTACAGCTCAGCTTTTAACACAATAATACCAGACATCCTGATCCCCAAGTTGACCAACCTGGGGCTCTCACCATCCACCTGCTCCTGGATCAAGAACTTTCTGGTCAGTTGACCCCAGCAGGTGAAAGTGGGTCCCCATCTCTCATCCACTCGCACTCTCACCACCTGCTCCCCTAGGGCTGTGTGCTGAGTCCACTCCTCTACTCACTCTACACTCACGACTGCAGTCCCACCCACAGAACAGCACTGTCAAACTCACTGATGACACAACAGTGGTGGGGCTGATAACAGAGGGGAATGAGGCGCCTACAGAGATGAGGTCCTGAAACTCAGCCAGTGCTGTGCAAATAACAACTTGGCACTGAACATCACCAAGACTAAAGAACTCATCCTGGACTTTTGGTCCTGGACTTTTGGTCCCCCCCCCCGTACATTAACAACCAAAGTGTGGAGCGAGTGGGGACCTTCAAATTCCTTGGGGTTCACATCTCTGTGGATCTCTCCTGGTCAGTCAACACGTCAGCACTGGTCAAAAAGGCCCAGCAGCGGCTACACTTCCTGAGGTGCTCAGGATGGAGCAACTAAACACAAGCTGCTGGTGACCTTCTGTTGTTCCACCATTGGTCACCTGCTGACCTCTGCTGTG